GGCCACCCACCCAGCAGAAACCGCGTCAGCACCCCCGCCACCCCTGACACCGCCAGCTTCGTGGAGCCTCTGGGCACAGGTTCTTGTGAAGGCCACCCACCCAGCAAAACACGCGCTGGCACCACCACCCCTGACACTACCAGCTTCCTGGAGCCTCTCGGCACAAATTTGTAAGGGCCACCCACCTAGCAAAAACCGCGCCAGCCCCCCCCCCCCCCACCCCTGACACCGCAAGCCTCCTGGAGCCTCTTGGCACAGGTTCTCAGGGGCCACCCACCCAGCAAAAACCGCGCCGACACCCCCACCACCCCTGACACCGCCAGCCTCCTGGAGCCTCTTGGCACAGGTTCTTCGGGGCCACCCACCCAGCAAAAACCGCGCCAGCACCCCCACCGCCCCTGACACCGCCAGCCTACTGGATCCTCTGGGCACAGATTCTTACAGGCCACCCACCCAGCAAAAACCGCGCCGGCACCCCCACCGCCCCTGACACCGCCAGCCTCCTGGAGCCTCTCGGCACAAATTCCCCAGGGCCACCCACCTAGCAAAAACAACGCTGGCCCCCCACCACCCCTAAAACGACCAACTTCCGAAAACCTCACGGCACAATTTTTTAGGGGCCACCCGTCCAGCAACAAACCGCGCTGGCACCCCCACCACCCCTGACACCACCAGCTTCCTGAAACCTCTAGGCGCAGGTTCTTGTGAAGGCCACCCACCCAGCAAAAACTGCGGCGGCACCCCCACCACCCCTGACACCGCCAGCCTCCTGGAGCCTTTCGGCACGGATTCTTTGTGGCCACCCACCCAGCAAAAATCGCGCCAGCCCCCCTACCACCCCTGACACCGCCAGCCTCCTGGAGCCTCTCGGCACAAATTCTTAAAAAGGCCATTCACCCAGCAGAAACCGCGCCAGCACCCCCACCACCCCTGACACCGCCAGCTTCCTGGAGCCTCTCGGCACAGGTTCTCAGGGGCCACCCACCCAGCAAAAACCGCGCCGGCACCCCCACCACCCTTGACTCCGCCAGCCTCCTGGAGCCTCTCGGCACAGGTTCTTAAGGCCACCCACCCAGGAAAAAACGCGCCGGCACCCCCACCACCCCTGACACCGCCAGCTTCCTGGAGCCTCTGGGCACAGATTCCTAAGGGCCACCCGCCCAGCAAAAACCGCGCCGTTACCCCCACCACCCCTGACACCGCCAACTTCCTAGAGCTTCTGGGCACAGATTCTCAAGGGGCCACCCATCCAATAGAAACCGCGTCAGCACCCCCACCACCCCTGACGCCGCCAGCTTCCTGGAGCCTCTGTGCACAGGTTCTTGAGAGGGCCACCCACCCAGCAAAAACCGCGCCGGCCCCCACCACCCCTGACACCGCCAGCCTCCTGGAGCCTCTCGGCACAAATTCTTAGCGGCCACCCACCCAGCAAAAATCGCGCCAGCACACCCACCACCACTGACACCGCCAGCTTCCTGGAGCCTCTGGGCACATGTTCTTAAAAGGCCACCCACCCAGCAAAAACCGCGCCAGCACCCCCACCACTCCTGACACCGCCTGCCTCCTGGAGCCTGTCGGCACAGGTTCTTGTAAGGGCCACCCACCCAGCAAAAACCGCGCCGTCACCCCCATCACCCCTGACACCGCCAGCCTCCTGGAGCCTCTGGGCACAGATTCTCAGAGGCCACCCACCCAGCAAAAACCGCGCTGTCACCCCCACCGCGTGTGACACCGCCAGCCTCCTGAAACCTCTCGGTGCAGATTCTTAAGGGCCGCCCACCCACCAAAAACCGCGCCGGCACCCCCACCACCCCTGACACCGCCAGCTTCCTGGAGCCTCTGGGCACAGATTCGTCGGGGCCACCCACCCAGCAAAAACAGCGCTGGCGCTCCCACCACCCCTGATACCGCCAGCCTCCTGGAGCCTCTCGGCACAAGTTCTTAAGAGCCACCCACCCAGCAAAAGCCGCGCTGTCACCCCCACCACCCCTGAAACCGCCAGCTTCCTGGACCTTCTGGGCACAGGTTCTCAGGGGCCATCCACCCAGCAAAAACCGCGCCGGCACCCTCACCACCCCTGACAACGCCAGCCTCCTGGAGCCATTCGGCACAGATTCTTAAGGGCCACCCACCCAGCAAAAACCGCGCCGTCACCCCCACCACCCCTGACACCGCCAGCCTCCTGGAGCTTCTGGGCACAGATTCTTCGGGGCCACCACCCAGCAAAAACCGCGCCGGCACCCCCACCGCCCCTGACACCGCCAGTTTCCTGGGGGCCTCTCGGCACAGATTGAAGGACCTCCCAGCAACAACCGTTCCGTCACCCCCACCACCCCTGACACCGCCAGCCTCCTGGAGCCTTTCGGCACAATTTCTTCGGGGCCACCCACCCAGCAAAAACCGCGCCGGCACCCCCACCACCTCTGACACCGCCAGCTTCCTAGAGCCTCTGGGTATAGTTTCTAAGGGGCCACCCACCCAGCAAAAACCGCGCCGGCACCCTCACCCCCCCTGACACCGCCAGCTGCCTGGAGACTCTGGGCGCAGGTTCTCAAGGGCCACCCACCCAGCAAAAACCGCGCCAGCACCTCCACCACCCCTGATACCGCCAGCCTCCTGGAGCCTCTGGGCACAAACTCATAGGGGCCACCCACCCAGCAGAAACCGCGCCAACACCCGCACCACCCCTGACACCGCCAGCCTTCTGGAGCCTCTCGGCACAGGTTCTTAGGGGCCACCCACCCAGCAAAAACCGCGCCGGCACCCCCACCACCCCTGACACCGCCAGCTTCCTGGAGCCTCTGGGCACAGATTCCTAAGGGCCACCCACCCAGCAAAAACCGCGCCGTTACCCCCACCACACCTGACACCGCCAGCTTCCTAGAGCTTCTGGGGACAGATTCTTAAGGGGCCACCCACCCAGCAGAAACCGCGTCAGCACCCCCGCCACCCCTGACACCGCCAGCCTCCTGGAGCCTCTCGGAACAGTTTCTTCGGGGCCACCCACCCAGCAAAATCCGCGCCCGGCACCCCCACCACCCCAACCGCCAGCTTCCTGGAGGGCCACCCACCCAGCAAAAACCGCGCCGGCACCCACCACAGCCTCCTGGAGCCTCTCGGCACAGTTCTTAGGGGCCACCCACCCAGCAAAAACCGCGCCGGCACCCCCACCACCCCTGACACCGCCAGCCTCCTGGAGCCTCTCGGCACAAGTTCCCACCCACCCAGCAAAAACCGCGCCGGCACCCCTCACCACCCCTGACACGCCAGCCTCCAGCCATTCCTTGCAAAAACCCACCCCTGACACCGCCAGCCTCCTGGAGCCTCTGGGCACGCATTCTTAGGGGCCACCCACCCAGAGGAGAGGAGGAGGAGGAGGAGGAGGAGGAGGAGGAGGAGGAGGAGGAGGAGGAGGAGGAGGAAGGAGGGGGAGGAGCGGGGGGAAGGAGGTGTAGGAGCAGGAGGGGTAGGAGAGGACCTTTCCGCCACTCGTCTTGGACTTCCTTCCTGTGCTGGTCAGCGCCATGAGGCCAGGCTCCCTCGCTTGCCCCGGTGGCCTCCCTAGGCGGGCAGGCCGATGGGCGGAAGGGCAACCGCCCTGTAGGGCGCGCTCTCGCTCTGAGCCGAAAAGCCACACAGAGCACGCGCATCGGAGGGGAGGGAGGGAGGGCCAAGGAGGGCCTCTGGAGTCCCCTTGTTGTTCACCGAGAGCCTCCGCCGAACTCCCGAGACGGCCCAAGAGGGCCCCAGGAGGGAGGGGCGAGGGGAGGGGGTGCCAAAATACCAAGAACCCCCCCACGCCCCCCTCCCTACGCCCTGAAAAAGACAAAATACAAGCACAAGACGGGTCTAGGGACAAAACACATCTTGTGCGTTCTGTACTTCATGGGGGAATGGAGGGCAAGACGTGGGCCGAGGATCAAGGACCAAACGTTGTGGCATTTGTGCAGCCTCTGGAGGCCTCCCAAAAAATTCGAGAACCTCCTCGAGTGACCTCAGGAAAGCTTCAGGGCCTGCAAGCTCTGAGGAGCTCCAGCGGCCTCCTCCTCCTCCTCCTCCTCCTCCTCCTCCTCCCTCCCTCCTAGAGGTGAACGGACGGGAGAAGAGGGAGGACAGGTGGAAGTGTGGGGGAAGGAACGAACCAGGGAGAGGGCAGGAAGAGCGAGGGGAGATGGTGGGACCAAGGGAACAGGTGAACGGGAAGTCGGACGAAGAAGGCCACATGTCCGCACACGTGGATCGCACATCTGGATTCAACGTTGCGCTCGCGGAAGTCGAGGGAGACAGCCCACAACGATCAGCGGGAGGAGGAGGGTGGAGGAGCGGCCACCGAACTCTATGGAGCCCAGACCTCCGGCGGAGGGATTTTCTTGACCGTGGGCATCAGGGCCTTCGACGTAAAACGAAGCCAAGACGAGGATGAATTGGGGGGAAGATAAATCGAGAATCTCTGAGATCCGGCGGCTCTGGAAGATGCCTCAAGCGCCGCGGCCTTCTCAGAACGCTCCAGAACGCTGTGAGCGCGTTCTGGAACGCTTTGGAACGGACTTATCCTCGTCCTAGCCCCGTCCGATCAGGGCCTTCGACGCCTCCCTGGGGCCAGCTTGCAGTCCCAAATTGGTTTCGCCTTATGACCTGCCAGAAAGCCGCCGGTGTCGAAACAGAAGAGAAGCGCCCGCATCCGCTGGAGATCCAGGGGGCGGGAGGGCGGCGAAACTAGCAGAAAAACAAACGGCATGAACATAAACGTTCGAGTGTCCGCGCGGATATCCTGGATCGGCGCTGGATCCCCTCCTTGGCGCGCGGAGCGTGCCAGGGGGCGGCGCTGGAGGCACCGCCAGGGGGGAGGGCTCCAACGCAGATCTCAGAAAACCGCGCGGATCTTCGACAATTTGTGTTCATGCTATCAATATATGTTGGGTCTGACGACGTAGTCCCCAGCGTCTACCCTGGGGTATCGGCTTGACCCAGAGGAGAGCGGCAGCGCTGCTGGCGATCTCCTTCTGCGCCAACAACGCCTGTGCGTCCAGCTTCTTCCCTCCAAACAAAAGCGCCATAGCCTCTTCGTCGGCTTTGGGGTCCTGTCCGCGAAGGCGTTGGCATACACATATTTATGTATATATATATATATGTGTGTATATAAATATACACAAGAATATCTACACGTGCAGACTCATGTGCATACACATGTATGCCATCCGCATGGGATCGTCATGAGAACTAGCGGGCAAAGGTAACAAACCGAACTGAACGCAACGACGCTGTGTCACAGTCATCCCTCTCAATACGTTGCTGCCTCTGTGAAAATAAATATTGAACCATGTATGTGCTTGCCAGCGTGGATCCCAAACAATGAGCTCTTGTACTCTGGATGTGTAGACTATGTGCTGCACGCTACGTGGTGAAAACCAACACTCGCTGCAAGCAGTGTGGTGCCAAGCTGTGCGCCGTGTAAGCAGCGTGTTGCAACCTGTGTGCTGCACGAGCTGTGTGGTGTAAGTTGTGTGGTGGAAGCTAACTCTGTGATGAAAGCTATGCGGTGTAAGCTTTGAGGTATAAGCGAAGCGACGCAAGCAAACTGTGTGCAGGCAGCGCGCGGCGCCCCACACGGGGCACCCGCGAGGCGAACAAAAAACGACACGCCGAGCCAGCCCACGGGGCGCCCACGGGGCGTCGACGGCCGCCCACCAGGCGAAGCCTCGATCCTCCCAGCAAACGCACGTGGCGCCCACGAGGCACTCGACCCACACACACAGAGAGAGAGAGAGGATGCGCACGGGGGCGCCCACGAGGCGCCCCCTAGCCGCCCACCAGGCAAGGCCTCGACACACCCAGCCAGCGCACAGGACGCCAGCGAGGCGCCACAGGACGCCAGCGAGGCGCCCCCGGCCGGTGCCAGCTCGTGGGCGCCTCGTGGACGCCCCGTGCTCTGTGTGGATGTCCTGACTCTTTGGCGCCCCGTGCGCTGGGTGGGTTTGGATTCGCCGCGTTGGCGCCCGTGCCCGCTCGTGGGCGCCCCAGGCTCTGGGTGGGGTTCCAGAAGCTTCTCGTTGGCGCCCGTGCCCGCGCGTGAGCGCCCTTGTCGGCTCATACCATATCTGACACCACATAACTTACACCGCATCGCTCGCTCCAAACAGCTTGCAACGCATAGATCAAACCACATAGCGCACACCATGTATCTGTCACAACGTAATCTACACAACGTAACGTACACGGCATAGCTTCCACCGCATTAGGTCGCACAGCATGTATAGCAACAGAACTCCATACCACAAAACTGACACCACATAGCTTAAACGGCATGGCGTACACCTCATGTGTTGCACAACACACATCATACCGTATGACGCATACAGTATATCATACTCAACACAGCTTACACCGCACGTGTTCCAAACCATAGTCTGTGACACCTATCTAAGACCGCAAAGTTTACACAAAACAACTTACGCCACATCGTTCACACAACCTATCTTGCACCTCCACAATGCAATGCAATACCTCACGGTCTGGGATCCGGACTGGCAATTCTGTATATATGTATATATACACAGATATACATGCATGGATTCCGCCACCGTACCCAACACGAAAATGAGTGCCCCAAGGCTCAGAACTATGATGGCAATTACTAAGACTTTTTAAGATTCGCAAGGATCCCGACACCCGGTGTCACGGAGTTCCCGATATTACTTTCCCAGGCGCCAGACAACTCCAACACGGGCCAGGAAGGTCACAAGAGGGCCCGCAATGGTCCAACAGCCCCGAGGCTGCCAACCAGCTTTCCGAGAAGGCCCAAGATGGCCTCAAGACGGTCCCAGACGCACCCAAGACGCCCAACAGACAACCCCGAGAGACAACCAAAGGTCCCAAGGGGCTCGGGGCGCGGGCGCGCGCGCCTGGCCAGCTCGGGCGCCACCATGGGAACGGATACCGCTACTCCCCAGACCTCATCTGGGGTGCGTTCTGACCAGCATTTCGATGCGAACCCTACCGTGGTAACGAGGGCCTCCCAGCAGGCCCCAAGAGGCGAAAGCGAGGCAAGGGCAGCGGCATCGGTATCTTCCCCCACCTGAGCTTGGTGTATACTTCGAGCCCTGGAGCTATAGACCCCATCTTTCTGAAGCATGTTTCGAGCCGCTCCGATATGTCATGGCCTCTGGGCCCGAGATAAGGCGAAACGGTCGGGCGTGAATGGAAATGCGACGCCAGGATCTCAGGTTTGGTGCAGAATAACTCGAGCCTCCCTGTGAGAAAAAACATTGGAGGCCTAGCGCGGCGCGCAATAGCTGTGCCGTCTACTCCACACTTCTGCTCCGCAAGGCATGGGTCGACGTTCGCGCGGGGGTACTCCGACGTAAGTCCGACGTGAATAGAAAAGTACAAAAACAAATAATCACAGAAATTAACAAATGAATGAACAAACAAATCTGCTGGAATACCGGGGGTCCGTGGCCCGGGCGGGGACAGCCTCCAGGATTCTCCCCCCCTTTGGGCCCGCGACATGATTGACCCATTCCGGGGCCTCCTGGGCCTTCCTCCCATCGCTCAAAAACTGTTCCGGAGGCCATGAAAACGCGACCAGAGAGGCCTGACAAGGCCGAAGACGCCCGAATATTGTTCCAAGACGGCGCACAAGGCCCCGAAGATTTCCTAAGAAGGCTCCAAGATGCGCCCCAAGAGGGCCCCAGAAGGCCAAAAATTGTTTCATTCCCGAGGGAAGCGAACATTTTCAGCAGATTCGCACTTTGGGTCTTAACAGTGTCCAGAACGGCCCAAGAGGCCCCAAAGATCGCCCCAAGACGGCCCAAGAGACCTCTAAGAGAGGCGCCCAAGACAGCCCACAAGGGCCCCAAGAGGAGTCGAAGAGGGGAGCTCCAACTGACATGTCGAGCCCTCCGCCAAGGGTGGCCCCCCGAGGCCGCAGCAGGTACCCAAGAGATCCCCACAGGGCCCACATGAGGCCACAAGCAGCTCCCGAACTCGTCCGAAGCCATGTCGGCTGAAGGAGCCGTCCCGCCCAATCCTGGTCGGGGGCATGTTGCATCCCCACGTCCAGTGGTATCTTCATATGGACGGCTCGTCCGAGCCCTGTTGACAACACAGATGCGGATATTCACTAATGCCATCGGCGGGCGCGAAGTCGTCATCTTGGATGCTAGCCCGTCCTGGCACTTGCAAGAAGTACTCAACTCGATCCTGAGGGAAAGTGGGAGGCGGGTCAACAAGAGGCGCATCTCTTGGGGAATGTAGAGATCCGCGGGGAACTCTGAATAGCACTGGGGCAGGGGACGGGTGTGAACTGACTTTGGTTGTGACCAAACCGTTCCTCATAGTGTCCAGGTGCGGAGACGTGGCGCAGATCTGGTCCACCGCGTCAGGGAATTGTTTCCACGTTCTGGCTGGTCACGGAGCGTACCTGCAAACGGTCATGTTCACGCCCGATCGTCAGTATGTGGGGACTGCACCTGTGGATGGAACTTCGAAGATTTGGTTTGTTTCATCAAGGAGTGCCTCCGTACTCTGGAGAACAACGCTGGCCAGATGCATTATGTTATATGTTCCCAAAGCGGCAAGGATGTAGTGACTGTCTCCATTGACGGCACGACGAACGTGTGGTCCACCGCGTCAGGAGAGTGCTTGCAAGCTCGACGATGCGTGGAGGAGGAAGCGTGGTGGTGGCGGGGTGGTCCTGGTTTGATACATCTTGATGTGTCCAATCATATTTGATCCGATGCACTCGTTGGAAGCAAGTGCGTTTTCTCCATTTGTAGTGTTTTGACTGCGGCTACAACGCGCTGCCATGCGCCACTCCCATCCCTGGCCGTCTTGGGAGCTTCTCTTGAGGCCTCCTAGACTGCCAAACAGCTGCCCAGCCTGAGCTTACCGCGATCGTTCTCCTTTCCTTTCTCCTCTCCATCCTCCTCTTCCTGTCTCTTCCCCTACTCCAGGCGGCTTTACCTTGCCAACTTGCTGGTTGGGCCATCTTCCCCCTCACAAGGTTCGTGTTCGCATGGTCGCGTACGGCACGCTCCTCGAGCACTACTGAAGGAAGGGGCATTGCTTGAAGGGGGGGCGCCGGGTCTGCGCTCTGGGACGAACTGGCGCAGGAGCTTGCATGAGCGAGAGCATGCTCGCGTGCGCGAGCAGGAGGCCTGCAATGTCGCGGCAACTCCCTCGCGTAGACGCCGTCGTCGGGCCACAAACGGCTTGAATACGGCCGCGGACTTTGACCGCGACTTCGCTTCCGATTCGCACCACTCCGTCGCGCAACTGCGGCCCCTGCACGCTGCCATTCGCACGGCTCACGGCCGCGTGCTCGAGAAGCCTTCGGCGGTGGAGCTTCGTTCAATTATGAAATAGTTAACCGCGTTTCAGCCTAGCCCGCGCCTTCAATTATCTTGGCGAAGGGCCCAACCATATGCAGTTGTGGGTACCGCAATTGTGAATATCTTCTTCTGTGAAGCTCCCCATGGGGCCACGAAGCGCTGCCGCTGCATTGGGTGGGGGGGAACGCATGACGGCGGTAGCACTGGGGCCGTCGGTGGAGCTCCCTATGGTGCCACAAAACGTTGTACCGGGTTGGTGGCAATGCCAGATTGGGTGTGTGGTGCGCATGCGGGCGGTCCCACTGGTGGCTTCAGTGGAGCTCTCTATGGGCCACGAAACGCTGTACTGAATGGGTGAAAATGCAAAGTTTGATGTTTCGGGACGCATGCGGACGTGTGGCAGTGGGGCCCCCCGGTGGAGCTCCCTATGGGGCCACGAAGCGCTGTACAGGGTGGGTGGAAATGCCAAATTCGATGTTTCGGGGCGCATGCGGACGGTGGCACTGGGGCCTTCGGTGGAGCTCCCTATGGGGCCACGAAACGCTGTACTGGGTCTGTGAAAATGCCAAATTGGATGTTTCGGGATGCATGCGGACGGTGGCACTGGGGCCTTCGGTGGAGCTCCCTATGGGGCCTCGAAGCGCTGTACTGGGCGGGTAAAAATGCCAAATTGGGTGTTTCGGGACGCATGCACACAGCGGCAGTGGAGCCTTCGGTGGAGCTCCCTATGGGGCCACGAAGCGCTGTAA